AGTGTAAACAAACAACGCGGGATCATGATCACTGGGCAAGAAACCAGCGGCAGTCACCACAGAGGCGAAGCACTCAAACCAGGCACGAGGGGCATGTTTAAGACCATAGAGGGAGCGGCGAAGTCTACAGACCATACCATAAGGAGCATAGTACCCCGGTGGTGGCTGCATATAAACCTCCTCACGCAACTCGTCATTGAGAAAAGTGTTCTGGACATCAAGTTAAGAGATAGACCAATGACGAACAGAAGCCACATCAAGGAGAGTGCGGACAGTGGTCATGTAGGCCACAGGAGCGAAAGTCTCATCATAATCGCGTCCCTACTCCTGCTGAAAACCATGGGACACAAGACGAGCTTTGTAGCGCTCAAGAGAACCATCAGAGCGAGTATTAATCTTGTAGACCCACTTGCAGGTGATGGGACAGACACCGAAAGGGAGGGGAACCAAATCCCATGTGCCTGAGCGCTCAAGGGCAGCAAACTCTATGGCCATCGCAAGCTGCCATTCAGGCTGAGTCATGGCAGTCTGATAGAAAGTGGGCTCAGCAATAGCAGAGAGACCGTACCAATCAGGAGAATAGCGATCAGGTGGGGGGTGAGGCCGAGCATGGAGGTTATGAATCGGGGGAGGCGTGAAGGGAGGTGCACCAGAGGTGAAAGGCGCGTCAGGGGAAGCATCCTCAGTACAAGGGCGGCGAGTATAGTGGAGAGGAAATGGTGAGAGAGGGCGAGGGACTGGAGATGATGGTGGAGATGTGGAGGAGGAGGATGGTGAAGAGGGTGTCGATGGTGAATGAGGATGAGTGAGAGGTGCCGGAGGAAAAGGTGAAACATGAGGCACATAGCAGGGTGTATCGGGAAGGAGACGAAAAAAATATTGTCCACAGAGAAGCTTGAGGAAGAAGGATGTCGGTAGTAAGAACGAGTCTCGTCAAAAGTCACATCACGCGAGATGTGCAAGCGATGACCAACAGGATCCCAACAGCGATAGCCCTTGTGCTCATCACTATAGCCAAGGAAAACACACTCAACCGACTGAGTAGTCAGTTTGGTGCGTTCTTGGGGGGGGGGCAAGAAGGACATAGCACACACATCCAAACATATGAAGAGCTGAGTAGTCAGGAGAACGACCAGTGAGACACTCCATAGGAATACCACCCTGCAGGGCAGTCAATGGCTGAATGTTGATGAGATAGATGGACGTGGAAACAGTCTCAGCCCAAAATGGGGTGGAAGGGAAGCAGCAATCATCAGTGCACGAGCCGTCTCAAGTAGATGATTGTGCTTACGTTGTGCAACACCATTCTGAGTATGAGCACCAGGACATGAGAACTGGGCAAGAGTACCCTGTTCTGCGAGAAAACCACGCAGTAGCTGGGGGATATACTCTTCAGCAGAGTCAGCACGAAAAGTACGAACAGGCGTGGAAAACTGGGTGTGAACCATGGAAGCAAATTGTTTGTATATAGAAGAACCTCGCTACGAGATTTCATGAAGTAGAGCCAAGTGTAGCGAGAGAAATCATCAATAAACAAAACATAGTAGTGATGACCACCTTTCAAATCAAAGGGAGCAGGACCCCAGACATCAGAATGAACTAAGTCAAACGGACGCTGAGATACGAACTCACTGGTAGGATAAGGTAATTGGGTCTGTTTGCCAAGTCTACAACCATTACAATGTAAAAAAACATCTCCAGATACAGACCCTAAGAGGCCCTGACGCACTAATGATGACAAGCGAGAGCCACAGAGGTGACCAAGGCGATGATGCCACTGCTGGAAGGACGCAGACGAAGAGGCAGCAAGAGTATGAGAGCCGACAGAAGTGGTGGCAGCGGAAGGAACACAAAGTCAGTCATCCTCCCAAAGGCCCTCTAACTCACGGCATCGGGGGCCAGCACCAACCAAAACGTTGGTGCGACGATCCTGAATGGAGTAAGAGTCGGTATCAAGAATGACACGACAACCAAAATCAGTAAGTTGGGCAGCAGAAAAAAAGATTCATGGTAAGGCGAGGAACATGAGAGACACTAGCAACAAAAAAGAATGGAGTGAAAAAAATACCGCGACTAGCAACAGGAAGAGATGTGCCATCGGCAGTAAGAACATTAATAGAAGAATCAAGAGGGTGAAGAGACGACAACGCTGAAGAATCAGAGGACATATGAAAGGAAGCCCCAGAGTCCAGAACCCACGAAGATGTACCTGACGGTGTATATGCTTGCGGTGATGAAGTGGTGAAAGCAGTCACATCAGTAGTAGAGACCATCGATGAAGAACCAGAGGAAGCCAGAGTCAGTGAGTGACGGAGTCGATGACGACACAGGAATCCCACTGGAAGAGGAGCGCCTCTAGTTCCGCTGCTTCTGGCGACAATCAGACTCTGGGTGACCTGGCCTGGAGCAGTAGTCACATAAGGTGTCACGGCGCGACCGGCCCTTCTCAACATAAGGAGGGCGACCCACCCTCCTGAAGGTGTGGGCAAGAGCAGTGGAGCAGTGGGACGAGCAGACGACATAGGAGTTCGGGCAGCCAACATAGAAGGAACTACAAGCAACCCACCAGAACAAAGGCGGGTCTCCTCAGCATGAAGATCAACAAGTACCTCCGAGATAGGAACACAACCACGAGCAAGCAAGTGAGCACGTCGAGACTCAAACTCGGGGTGGAGGCGAGATAAGAACTCATGGACATGCTGAAACTCCAAGTTGGACCGCATAGTCTGACAGCAGCGGCAAGATCCACAAACAACTATCCGAAGAGAGTCAAGCTGGCGCCAGATGGCAGAACTTTGTGTGTAGAACTTGTCAACAGATGAGTCACCCTGCTGAAGAGCGTGCTCCTGACACACCACAGATAAGTAAAGAGCATCACCAGAGGGTTGATAGCGCTGACTGAGGTAAGACCACATCGCTACAACTGTGTCGAGGCCCATGAACTCCGAAGCAAACTGAGGGAGGACACTCGTAGTGAGAACAGTAGCAGCCCGGGCATCATCGTTGCACCACTGAGTGTAAGCAGACAGATCATCCCGGTAGACAGAAAGAATATCTGAATAGGCGGATACCTGCTGATCATAAGCATCAACCGCAACATCATCGAGCGCCTTGGCTGCATCTCGATCAGCCTGAGAAGCATCAGCAGCAAGGACCGGCGGCACCGGTGAGGTAGGAGCCATAGGAGCAACATGGCATGGCGGATAGGGGACCTCGCCAGAGAGAACACCCCACAGCAGAAGACCGCGCATATGAATACACATGAAACCCGCAAACTCAACATAATTGGTGCCATCAAAGATCACCGAGCATCGAGGAACAACGACATAGCCAGAAGAAGACATGTTGTATACTCCCTCTCTCCCTCCCTCTCTCTCTCTCTTTGGAAGTTAACAGACCCAGAGAAACTTGATCTGGATCGAACGCTCGATGCTGGCAACGAGCGAGGGCGCTCGTGGCTGGGATCGAGCGAGGGCCAGCCGGATCGACCGGGCAGGCCGGAGGCAGCAGCGGCAGTAGCGGCTGGACGGGACCGGTGGCAGCCGTGCGTAGAGGGACGTCGGCGGCCGACCGAAGAGGCAGATCAGCGGCCGGTCAGTGAGGAGAGGTGGCAGCTGGATGGAGCAGCAGCAGTTGAAGGAGCACCGGCGGCTGGACGGGAACGGGCGGGCGGCGGCCGGTCGAAGAGAAAGGGGCGACCAGACGAGGGGAGATCGACAGAGGGGCTGCAGACCGGGCACAACCTGCGAGCGGGGAAACTCGATCTGGATCGAGCAGTTGCTCGCGCGAGGCTAGAAAAAGGGCAGGCAGCCGGTGACCAGGAAGACTAGGATCGAAGCTCAACAGCGACGACAGTGGGTAGAAGGAGCACGCACGGAGTTGCATCATGCGGGAGAGAGGCTAACCTGGCATCTGATACCATGTTGAATAATGAGCAACTTATATTCACTGAGGGTCAAAGGCCATTACATATACATGTGTGATAAAATGCAAGAAACCTTTATACAATGAAGATATATCGGGAAAAAAACTATACACATCTCACGGCAGCTAGCACGCACCGTGAGCCAGCAACGAGGTGAGGCTAGTTTGAAATGGAGGGGAAGCACAGCAGAAATCCAGCTGCGCCTGGGAGCAGCAGTTGGTAAAGCGCGCATGCGTACGCGTGGACACCATGGACGTTGAGCAAGCACCTGCCATAGACGTTGAGCTAAACTGGCATCGCAGAGAACTAGCTAAACATGCATAAGCATAACCTTTAAAAAAAGATCATTCATGGAAACAACTGACTGCATATCGAGCTGGTTAGGTAGGCAACTACAGAGAAGAAAGAGAGATCAACATCTGCACTTCAATCCAAACCAATCACTCTATTTCAGAAGATGCATGTACATGCATGCAGCTAGCACGCACCGTCAGCCAGCAACGAGGTGAGGCTAGTTTGAAATGGAGGGGAAGCACACAGAAATCCAGCTGTGCCTGGGAGCAGCAGCTGGTAAAGTGTGCGTTGCGTGGACACCATGAACGTTGAGCAAGCACCGAGCTCCAGCCATGGCCGCTGAGCTAAACTGACATCCCAAATATGCCTCGCAGAGAGAACTAGCTAAACATGCCTATAACCTTTCAAAACAAGCTCATGCGTGAAAACAACTGAATGCACATCGAGCTAGCTAGGTAGGCAACTACAGAGAAAAGAAGAGATCAACATCTGCTAAAGATCTTATAAAGATCAGCATTAGGTTTCCACACACACATAGGATCGCGCCAAACGACCGGGATCGCTCCACAATCACGAAGAAGATTAGTGGAAGATCACGGAACAGAGCAGTAGTAAAATGGAGTACCAAGCATCCAAATGCATATGACAGACCAACATAACAGTTCAACACTACCCTAGCTAGCTATGTGTTCCTGCAGGAAGTTGGTAACGCCCGAGCCCTCTCATGTCCTGTAGATGGTTCCTTGCTTTTATTCGGTCTTCTTCCTTCTTACCGGTCAGATCATGGCTTCCCTTCTGCCGCTGGAGATAAGATAGTTGTGTTAAGACTTAAGATTGCGGATGTATATTTCTTAACAACGAGGCGGAAACGTGGGTAGTACATAGTACATACCTGGTGCGGCTGCAGCATTCCCGAGCTTCCTCGTCACCAGGCGGCAGACATGAACTAGCAGCAGGATGATAACCCCGGCGACGATGAAGCCAATGCACACAGTCAGGACGAGGTTATCCTTTACGATCCTCCCTGCAGCGCAGCGCATCACAAGTTAGAGATAGAATCACCATGAGATCTACCGGCCGGAGTTACTATGTACTGTAGCAATGTAGCAATACTCACGAATCTTCTCTCTCACGGGCAGCGGCGGTGCCGATATCTCGAAGCGGAGGTAGCAGTTCGGGCCGAGAACCGCGGCCACGCTTCCTTGCACGTCGACGCCGGCGGTGAGCGTGAGACTCCAGCTCTTGGCCATCTGCAGCGACGAATCCCGCAGGCACCGGGCGCACTCCGCCGGGGCGCTGTCCGTCGCGCACTGTGCCAGCATGCGCACCGTGTAGCCGTTGCTCGCCGTGGCAGTCGCGTCGGCGGCGGCCACCTGGCCGTTCGCGGACCGCGGGACCAGGGACCGCGCCACGGCAACGAGCTTCAGCACGTCGACGTTGTCGATGCGTGGGACGGCGTCGCCGGAGAATGTCACGCCACTGATGTCGTCGTCGTCCGCGCCGGCGGAGGACGCGTTGGCGTCGGAGTAGCCCAGGAAGCAGCCGTCGGTCAGGAAGCCCGCGCGCCGGTTGGCGTGTCCGCACAGGTCGGTGATCTTCCCGCCGGCGTCAGACAGGCAGCGGAAGCACGGGTCTGGCGCGGGGTCGCCGAAGCAGAGGCCGCGGGCGAACGCGCCGCCGGTCCGCATGGAGGCGAAGCCCGTCCGCGCGGTGGCCGAGGGGACGGCGTCGAGCAGCGAGAGGAGATCGCGCCGGAACGCGCTGGTGCTGCCGTTGACAGTGGGCGTCGGCGGCGGGTAGCACCTGGTCACGATGATCTCGGAGGTGCCGGTGACCGCCGTGATGGCGACGAGGGAGAGGAAGAGGAGAAGGCGGCGGGAGAGCGCCATGGGAGTTGGCAGCTCCGGGATGGCAGTGGTGGAGACTAGGAGGAGGAGCCGAGGAGAGTCTCGCGGCGCTGGAACGAACTAGTCTAGTCACCAAGGAAAGGACCAGCGCGAGCTCACGTCTGGTAGTAATGTACGTATAGCAGGCAGCTCGCGTCGGATGCTTTGCCGCGGCATCGATATGGAAAGGGTGGAGCGCTGCGTGGTTGCTACGCGCATTGCCATTCCAAGCTAGGCGACGACACCACCCCTCATCAAGCTGCACCCGCACTAAGAAGGGGCTCTGCCAAACACTGCCAGCGCTTTATTGTTTTGCCTCATCCGTCGCCCACGCGAGCTTCCGCGCAACTTCCTCCCCCGGTGATTTATGGTTTTACCACCCACTACAGTAACAACGTTTTATATTTTTTCGAATGTTGGTATACTAACATCTGTTGAAGTGCAACACCTGTCAACCCAGCAATTCATCCCATGGGTATGGCTGTCCATGGGCATCCCAATGGGTAGGGTATGGGTCGTGCTCTCCGCCCATGGGTCACGCCCATGCTCCATGGGTAACCCGATATTAGTGAGTAGGTTATGGCTTTGAGTTTGTGCCCGTGGATTACCCATGTGTCACGTGATTAATATGAATAATTGATTATAATATTGTTTTACATGACCTTGAGGGCAGGGGCGGAGCCCAATGGACCAACCCTATAGCACAAGCTACAGGGTCCAAGAATTGTTTTAGTGCTAATTAACAGTCACTTGGCCCATGGCAACAGGGTGGCCCAGCAAGTGTGCCACAGGTCCGATGAAACCAGCCCGCGCGGGCTCGTGGTTTCACTTCGAACAGCCCACTACCCACGTTACGTACAGCATACCCTCGATCCGTTCAAACGCACACCAGCACACAACCGATCGTATTTCTGTTATCCATCTCCCTTCTCCTGTAAGTCTATAAGGGCATCTCCAGCCGTTCGGCCCCCTAGGGCGCCTAAATAGAGCGGCCTGGGGGCGTGCCGGCACTAGTTCGGCCCCTGGAGACGACCTAACTCCCAGTCACGCCCCCAAGCGCCGGTCTCAGGATGCGGAAAATTTGAACTAGGTCGTTCCCGCTCACAAAAGACGCCACAAATCCGGCGATCGGACGTAGTCTGGCGTTACAAAAAACAGAGTGCCACACGTCGCAAGTTCGCATGCGCAACGAATCACTCGGCGGGGTCGGCTCCAGGCGTTGGCGGAGTCGGCGTGCGCGGGCTCGGCGGTGTCGGAGCTGCTTCGGTGCTGGGCTGTGTCGGCGCGGCTTCGCTACTGCTGGGCGGCGATGTAGAGGCGTCGTTCGGGCTTGGCGTCCGTGTGGCCGTGGGCGCGGGAGCTGGCGTCGTCGGCGTCGTCGGCGTTGCCGTCTGCATCTGGTTCAGGATGAGGCCGCACTCCGCCATGTACCACGCCCTGAGCTACTCGTCGTTGCTCTGGAGCATGTCCGCCCCGCCCATCAGAAAAGCCATGTCGGTGTTTCTCTTCTTCGCGGCGACGTTCGTCCGGAGCAGGTCGACGTTGGTCCGGAGCAGGTAGAGCTTGATGGCGCTGTTCGTCATCAGCGACAACCACCGTGCCTCGGTCTTCTCTTCACGTAGGACGGCCCGGGCCTGGGCGTCGGCGAGGCAATGCTAGATGGACTCCTGCACTTGCGCGGTTGCCGCGTCGGCGTTTTTCCCCCTCTTTGCCAATTTTTGGTCGTCCGGCCGCCCCTCTGACGCGCCCGGAGTCGTCGCGTCCGGCTTGTATGTCTCCTTGGCCTTGTCGAGGGTACGTCGGACTTCCGCCCACTTCTCGCACTTGTCAATGCGCTTGTAGACGTGGAGGAACTTGAAGTCGGCGTCGAGGTTGTCGCGCCGATACATGGTGAACATGCGCATCAACTGCGCGGAGGAACAAACAGTTGGCGGGTGGCGGGCGTAGACGACGAAGAGATGCGGGCGAACGGCGTGCGTACCTGATCCTTAACGCTGGCGCCGCTCTCCGGGCGAGCCGCGACCTCCTCGACGATTCCATGTCATTTGTTGCACGCCCCCTGGATACGCCCCCAATGGTTCGCCATCGCCTTGGAGCCGCGCTGCATGTAGACGCCTTTGAAGTAGGGAAGCTCGTCGAACTCGGCCTTAATGCGGTCCCAGTACGTCTCGAAGCTCTGGTTCGTGCCGGTGGTCGGGTCGAGGCAGACGACTTTCCATGCTTCGGCGAGACATTCCTCCTCCTTGGACGTCCACTTGATGCGCGGTTCGCCTGGCCTAGCCGCCCGCTTCTTCTTCTAGCGCCCCTTCGTCGGATCAGGAGCCGGCTCCTCCTCCTCCTCCTCCTCCTCGTCCTCCTTCTCCTCCTCGGGTTCCTGCGCTTCATGCGCGTCCTCGCCGTAGACGTAGCCGAGCTCGGCCTCCATGTCGCCGCTGAGATCCACTACCTCGTCCTGGGTGGCGAACCCGGGAGACGCGGCCACCGCGGTCGATCCTGTCGCGATGATGTCGTCCATGTCGGTCCTGTGTCGTCGGTGTCACCGAGGTGCGAGAAGGACAGCGGTCCACGGCGGAGATGGGGCGTCGGTGTGGACGCGTAGGCGGGCGGCGAGTAGTTGTATGGAGGGTACTGCACGCCGACGAAGGCGGGCGAGGGTGTGCGCGTCGCGGGGTGGCCATGGGGGAAGGTCACGTTTGGGTTGAACCCACCGTGCGCGTCGCCGTCGGCGTAGCCGGGCGACGACGATCCCCATGGAGATCCGACGCCTTGCTGTCCCCAGGACGCGTACTGGGCGTGGCTGACGACGGGTGGATTCATCATCCCCGCGTGGTCGACCGATGAGGAGGACGCCGCCGCGCGCGCCGCGTTGTCGCGGGCCTTCTTGGCGATGGCCCTGTTCCGCCGGTCGGCGGTGACTGCGTCGCGTCGCTGAACTTCCACCCTCCACTCGGCGTTCGACATGCCCGGTGGCTTCAATGGCGGCGCCCTCGGCTTCCCCTGCTTCGGCTGGGCCATGGTGCCAGTCGTGGTTGCCGCCGCGCGCGGCATGGCGTACTTCTTCGGCGGCATGGCGGCGACTGGAAGGCGAGCGGGAGGGGCTTTGGTGGGAGAAAGGGAGGGAATGGCGGGAGGAAGGCGAGCGAGCGGGAGGGATTCGAGGGAAAAGCGTTAAGAAACGGCGGGAAAAGGCTCTCGGGTCGCCGCCAGGGCGGACCCACGCGCCTTTTTCGCTTGTGCCGGCTCCCCAAGCGCCCCCCCAGGGCGCCGGGTTCGGCCTGGGTCCGCCGGCACCAGTTTTGGCCCGAGCCGGCGAAAAACGAGCTTCTGGGGACGCGACTGGGCAGTTTTTTTGACGCCGGCGCAGCAAAAACGCTTGAAGAGGGTCTGTTGGGGACGCGGCTGGAGATGGTCTAACAAACTAGCGATCCATCTTCCCAATCCCAGATTTTTCTCCACTAAAAGAAAAAGAGATCTCTATCAGTCTCCTCATCTCATGTATTCTGCCCCCGAGCAAGCGAGGCGAGCAAATCTATGCGCAGCGGCGACGATCTATTGATCGAATCGATCCGTTCCTGATGGGTGGGCGGCCGGCAAATGCGTACGCGAAGCAGCGGCAACCGGCAGGCCGGAGAATGCGGGTCGACGACTGACGCTGCAGCCTGCAGCGCCGAAGCCACCACGGCTCCCTCGCGAGTCATGGCCACGTCCCACGCCGGAATTTCTCTTTCCCTCTCTTAGCTAATTAGTAATATGTTTTTGAATTTTTCGTTTAGATTACAGTCATTGCTTGATTCGAATTCTGCTCGATATCCCTTCTTTGTGTTGTTTTTTCTATATATTTTTACAAGCCGCAACAATTGTATGTATAAAATTGGGGCTAGTAAGTTAAACCTTATTGAAATATATTTAAATGTATGTGTTCTGGCAAAACATGGGGCATCAGCTACTGTTTGAAGTTGTAATTACGTATACTTCATTGGCTTCACAATTTTGATTTCTCACTAGTTTTAATTATTCAATGCAGGTAGTATGGACCAGTTTCTTCTCAAAAGAACGGCACCATCAGTCCATCACATTCACAATTAGGTATCCATGACATCATTTTCAAGTAATTTGGTCACACTATATTAAGCAGTTTGACTATTACCTTTTGTTTTTATAAATCGGCGTCTATTATATCTGGTAATTCATGTTAAAAGTTATGAAACACATCTTTATTAGTTCATTGTTGCTTGAAAATTTTATGTCATAGTTAAGTAGTGCATCAAGGTAACATTAGTTCCAGATCCGCCCCTGCTTGAGGGCGATAGTGACGCTTCACAGCTGAGCAAGAAACGGCAGGAAGCTTCGACGCGGGTGGGGGGACCTAGGGCCCAGCCCAGGTAGTGGCACATACCCTCTACAGGTATGTGTATTATATATGTGTAGAAAAAAAATAGTACGCAGAGAAGTAGACCAGGCCTATTAAGAAGATCGGTTAATTGTATCGTCTTCCTCCTAGTAGCGAAACCTAGTTGCGACATTTCAGGTGAAAAACAAACGCATGATATTTGTTGATGCACGTTTATGGTTGGAGTTGGACTGCTAGAGTTGGAGTTGTAGCTTCTGTCGGACGTGGGTTTGGTGGTTGATACTTCTGTTGGCTCTCCCAGTTCGCTCCTTGCTATTATTCGGGCTAATGAATTGGCCCAAGCTACCATTGCGAAAGCCAAAGAGGCTGTTGCCTCGCGGGTGGCGGATGCTGGTTGTGTTGTGGGGGAGGCTTCGGGTGCTGGTAGTGGCCAGCCCTCATCCTCATCCTGCCTTGCTAAGAGGGGTACTAATAAACGATCTAAAACCTGTGTGGCCCCCAGCAGGTCGAGCCTCCGTATCAAGAACCTTTCGTATAAATGAGGGCCTTATTCTGGAATATTAGAGGGTTCGGTGCTAGGGGGCGCCGTGACCAACTGAAAGATTTGGTTCATTCTAACTCTATTGACTTTGTGGGGCTGGTTGAAAGGTTT